AAACCCACTTTCCAATATTAACATTACAATGCGCCTTGCGGAAAATCTGCAATATCTTTTTCGAAAATCGATCCACTATGACATACGTATTGACGGAAGAAATGTTTTATTAGCAAATGAATAAATATTTCATTTCACTTTCTATTCTCTTCTACTTCTAAATTTACAAGTAAACGTGACATAAATTTTTATTTTTAACTCTTTATTCGTGGTACATACAGTAATACGTGATGTTGTGAAATATGGCATCGATTGAGGCGGAATTGTTAGAGAGCGTGTGCAGTTATTGAGATAAATTAGTATAATACGCTGTTAAGGTTGCAGCAATAAAACTGTTTCTTTTCTAGAGATCTCGGATCAAGGTTTCCTCAATTGTTTTATTTCTGTATGTTCATGGTACCAGTAATTTAAAAAATTATTTTTATTTTCTCTATAAATTCTGTGGATAATATTTTTTTTCATAGATATAACTTAAATTTATCTAAGCATTAGTTATTTAATAACTAAAACTGCGCACATGAACAATTGGCTATTATTATTCATGACGAGATAAGATTCGTAAAGTATACATTCTTAATAATAACACGGTTTCCATATTATAATTAGCATCACCGACTGCATCCTTCTCACGTTATGTCGCGTATGCAAATATTTGTATAGCATAAAGACAATGCATTTCTATGCATATTCGAATTCGAGAACATCCGGATATGCGACCTTATATCATCCGAATAATAGAATCGCCCGGAGAAGTCGTTAGCGAACACGAAACAATAGATCCGTTTGCTTTACTTGCGTAGTCCTATATGCGATATGCTTTTCTATATTTAAAATATAAATCAAGTTTTTAAATAATATAAATATTGAATATTTTTTAAATTTTTGTGTGCGTTTCTATATACCTTTGCAAATATTCTCTCTACTTTTTAAAGAAAAAAAAAAAATTCAACTATTAAAAGAAAATATTTGAAAATATCAGTGTGTATATATACATAATAGTTTCCCTAGCGCGACATGTAATAAAGAGAGTCAACGCAATTACAACATACAAAACATTATTATTAATTTATACATTATACGTTGTATTATTTCATTTCTCATACATATATCATATGTTTTCATACAAAATTACTTAAATAACAAAGTCAATAATAAAGCCAGAGGTCACACCAACACGCTTCAATTGCATTGCTTTAAACTAAGAACCTTCCACCAGATGGTCAAATGATTTTACTTAAAATTTTTCACACAAATTTTTAATATTATTGTTCCACACATACACATCTCGTGTTTCCTTATCTTACCCGAGTAAAATGCTGGATGCTTCGAGCCAAAGATTAAATTGCGATGTTCCGTACTTGTAAAACTCTTCTCTATGCATTAGTAAACACGACGAAGGGCGCTACTATGCGAGAAAGGAAGAGAGAGGTAAAGAGAAAGAGTGAAAGAGCGAGAGAGAGAGAGAGAGAGAGAGAGAGAGAGAGAGAGAGAGAGAGAGAGAGAGAGAGAGAGAGAGAGAGAGAGAGAGAGAGAGAGAGAGAGAGAGAGAGAGAGAGAGA